AAAACGACAAACGAATCTCTTCATCATGTACTTTCATTCGAAATGAAGTTCCCCCTAACAATAGTATAAGTTAACAAAGAGCTTAATAGATATTTTGAGAAACCAGAACCATCCATACTTTGTACCTTGTTCCTTCCATACACAAATTCTTTTTGTAATTATAAAACGGTATCGTTAGATTACATGATGCCTTGAAGTCCGATATCCCTGTTTAGTTAATCAGTGTGATTACAAATGTGGGAGACTCTACTCTTTCCATTGGTAGTTTCAGGCCTACAGTTTTGCAATTGTGTAAGGATAAATTAGGATGCTGTAGTCGTCACAATAAACATATGCAACCGATCCTGGCGGAATTTATTGTAGATTATAGAATGAACTTTGTTTTATAATTGTCTAGCTCCAACACTATCTCATGATTTATCCCCTTGATTATTAATGGTTCTACTGTGAAACTAGTTTACACCCCAGCTTTAGCACCGTGAATTATCACAGCTTCTAGCCCACTTATTAGAAAATCCAAGAGTTGTGAGGTTAGCGAGAAGTCTTACTGTGTAGAAATATTTGCTTGCCATAGGATGCATAGGATGCATAGTCATGACTTCTGAACTTTTTGCCTAATTATTATTTCAAAGACATCCGGCTTAGGTTAGTGATGTCAATCACGAATTGCGATGCCGAAATCCAATGAAAAAACTTTCTCTTTTAGGCCTTTTACACTTACCTTGAGGATAAACATCTGTATAGCCAGATCCAACCTCCTTGTAAGTGTGCATTTCTGGCCTCAGTTTGCACTCGATGTTATCACCAGTACTACACTCACACCGGAACGTCTGGAACCAAGCAGTATCGGCTGTAGAGGCAGCTGCACTAAACATATTTCCGCATACCCTGCCGGCGATAGGGCCCAGTTTATTTGGTTTGGGAGTCACCAAAGTGGGAGAATTCCAAGTTGTTGGCCATTTATTGAAAGTAAGTTCAGATGCAGAATGAGAGCCTTGATTTTGATTCCCGGTCTTTCCCATCCGGTTATTTGTGGTCTTAAATTGTCTAGGCACTTGGGTTTCCGTAAAGCATGGCAACGGGGCACAATAAGTTAGTAAGAAATTTATCTCAATTGATTCGTCAAGGATTCCTTCAGTCTGTACATGATTATTATCGTTTAAAGCCATATGTCGTCGATTGAAGTCAGCATTCTTCTGCATCCAGAGGATGTATTCTTCCAGATTGGGGCAATAGCATAGCCACGAACAGTGCTGCCTTGAAGGCTGTTCGTCAATGTTCTGACCTTCCGAGGCCACAATATGGCCACGAAGACCAGTTGACGACTTGTAGTACTTAGTAGCACGACTCAACAGGCCTCCAGCGCTCTGACTTAGATTGTAAGGTAATTCAAGTGTATTTCCTGTGTAAATTCGAATTGGTTCATTTCCCTGTATCCCGAATCTGGCACGAATGGAACAAGTTTCTGGAAAAAAGTTGGTTAAACTAGTAAATGACAGAGAAATGCATTTATTCAAAGTATAACTTAACCAGATAATAATGGATGAAACAGACATAGCTACAGTGGACGATTGATAGGATAGAGCCAA